ACACACACACACACAAACTCATGTTCCCGCTCTCTCTCTGTCACATACACATACATACATAATGCTGTGTTGTCAGCTTGCTGCACTTGGCCTCTAATCTCGCCATGATGTCCCATTAGTCTGGACCTCTGGTGGCCCTCATTTAGGAGCTTCAACATCAAAGCTTTGAAGTGCCCGTCGATTCAGCCACACATACACACACACACACATAGACAGACTCATACAGTACACATGCAATTACTCTGCTTCTCTTTTATACAGCTTGCTGAGTCTCCCACACACGGTTCCATTTATCCACATAAGCTTTCCTCACCTAAATGCAAACCATGCCAGCAAATACGGCACAGCTTCAGATCCAGAGTGTGATATCTTTGACTCCTAGGGGTCTCCTGGACGCCAGCAGGGGGGGCTTATGATGGCTGTTACAGTCGTGACTTGGAAGATTAATGACATTGTGGAAGTTAATGTTGCATTTCTTAGCTTAAGCGTTCCTGAAATGTGTTTTTCCTCACTGAAATAGACTGTCACCATAGCTTATTAACTACAGCAGCGTTTAACACAACTTTTGGTTGGTAGGAAATGGAGCCTGTAGCACAGGTACCACATCATGAGCTATACAAAGCAGAACAACACATGTTGTCGCTGCACAGCGGCGATGGCAGTGGCTGTTAGCATGCTCTGGTCCGTGACATAGCGGGCCAATTACCGCCTCTGAAAAAACATAGACAATCCCCAGTCTGCCGGAGGAGTGCGATGCCATCTGCTCACAGGTTTGATTGATCCCGGCAGAACAGTCACGACCACATCACACGAATGAACGCTGACAGGAAATTACCAAAGGAGCCAGATTGTCATTGTTCCATACCGCCTCTTGTTTTCACAACCAAATTATTCTTAATTTTTTTTTTCCTGGGAGTGTGTGTGTTACCCAAATGTTGTTTTTCTAGGTTTTTATCAGTCTGTAACGGCACACTGCAGGGGCCCTTTCCTTTAGCCGTCAGATCAGAGAGTTCTTTTGCCTCTGAAGCTGAGGCGGCCTTCAAAGAAAAAGCTCTGGCACCCTGTAAGTCGATAGGCCAGATTGTGAAGGGAGCCAAATTGAGGGTCGCGCTACAGGAAGTGACTGAAACACACAGCTAATTAATCTGGGGATTATGTAATCAAGATGGAAGAGAGGGCACACAGGCAACACATTAGTCATCATGGTTAGGGAGGAAACTTTGTTTGGTTTTCTAACTTAATCACTTAGTACTTTCTTTATATAACCCCGAAGAGGCCTCTAACCGTGTCTAAAGGTCCAGTGTGTAACATTTAGGAGGGTCTTTCTGGCAGAAGTGGAATATAATATGCATAACTATGTTTTCATTAGTGTATAATCATTTGAGAATGAGAACCGTTGTGTTTTCGTTACCTTAGAATGAGACGTTTTTATCTACAGGGGGAGCAAGTGCTCTTTAGAGCCCGCCATGTTTCTACAGTAGCTCAAACCAGACAAACTAAATCTAGATCGGGTCATTTGCTTTTCTAGCTCTCGCTTGCTTGTGAAGCGAGGGAGCTGCAGTCTGCAGCTACACCACTAGATGCCACTAAATCCTGCACACTAGTCCTTTAACACATAGATGCAGTTTGTGCTGTAATGGGGCAGAATATTATTAAAATAGAATTCCCAGAAGTGCTTCAGAAATAATTTTGAATAAATTCAAAAATCCTCCATATCCTCCTCGTTGCACCTTAAGTGACACTCTGAAGAAGAGAACCACCTGGAGACTAAAACCTTACATCTCTTTCAACAGCATCCAAAGTGCTGTCACAAGCCGCAGCAGCGTTGCATACACACATGCACATGCAGAGACTGACAGCGTGCTTACATGTTTCATGCAGACACACAGACACACACACAGCAACGTGCACCCACATCCCAATGGTCTTCCTGGGAAGGGGGCCCAGATAATCTTGTCGGGCCTGCCAGCGGTTCAAAGCACCTATATGGGTCAGAGTGGGGAGGGTGTGTGTGTGTGTGTTTGGAGGATGGAAAGGGGCTCTGTGGCAACTTGCCTGCAAATGACGACAGACCCAATGACAACAAATGCCAAAGTCTTGTATAAACACCAGGCAGACCATCACTTTCCTTCCTCCATGACATTATCATCTCGCCACCACCAGAGGATACTGCCTCAGAAAATAAATACATGGAGGAAATGATTGGAATGAGAAAAGCTCCATTCAGAGCTCCGAACTAGGCCAGCTCTCTTGTCATTGTGAGGCAGCACAGAGGAAATTAACTTGATAAACAGATACTGAGGGTGGTTTGATGCTTTTGGATGCTACTAGACTGGAGCTGATGTGGGTGGAGAGTTCTGGATTCGATTTCCCAGAAGCCCCTTATGGTACTGGGCAGTGAAAAGACTCGAACATTTCTTCATGACTGAACTTTTGTTGTGGACACGCGACGTGACCAGTGGTCCTATGTGGTGGGCCACCTGTTCACTCCACTTGGGGCTGCTGTGTTTGCAGTCACAGTTGCCCTATATAGCGCAAGAAACTTGTTATCAGGCATGGTGGGAGGCCCTCGCAGTGGGTCCAACCATCTGTCTGGAGTGCTTGTGGGTGAGTTTGAGTGAAGGTGTTGCAGGTGCTTGACGTCAGAGACCAGAACATTTTTTTATTACTCCAGTAGAAGCCCTGCTTCAGAAATTCTTTATTTTAAAAAATATATTGTTTAATGGTTTATGATTTAAGGAGTTTGTGGATCTGTTATAAATCTGTAAAATCGGTAGAGTTCCCCTTTAATGTAGACCAGGAAATCCCATTGCATGCTGAGATTTATAATTTTTTTGTTTCCTCACGCAGGGTTTCTGCAAGTTAAATTTAAGACTTTTTGAGACCATTATAAATGCAGTTCAAGACCTATTTTACATCCATACGTGTAAAAAAGTACAAAGGACTTCACTTCAGATTATTGGATTTTATACTAGACTTTAGAACCTGCGGACACCCTGTCACATATAAATAAACCAGGATCCTGTTATCAACATCCAGTCCACCCATCAGCCATTAAGTCCTGAAAGTTGTGATTAAGAGGAAAGAATGATCATTGTGTTGTTGATCTAAGGAAGAACTGATGATCCTTAAAAGTTTGAACACAACCCAACGCTAAAAACAGATCAAATAAGTTCTGTGAGACCTTAATCAATATGAACTCTTGAACCTGAGAAGAAAAAAAACACCCAAAAATATATCTGTCAATCACAAGTTAAGTAAAGGAAAGCTGTTAGTGCAGCAATCACACTTGACAGGTTGTCAGGATTTGGACAAAACATCTTAAAGCTTCTGTAATAATCTGTTCGGCGCTGGC